AAGCCCGGATAGTGATGGTGCCGCCTGCGCTCGTCCGACCAAAACGGCCAGACTCTGCTGAATGTCCTATAAGATTGTCGTCTGTTGGTCTTGCATCTCTACTACTCCTAACAAGACCGACCTCAGGGCCCTCACCGGATCATCCAACTCCTCTGGGTCCATCTCCTTTAACTCACTAATGTCCGCTTGTCGCCGCTGCAACCTAGCTCTTCTTCTAATCATTCTTTCTTTTTCTGCCTTAATCTATCCTAAAGCCTTCTGTAGTTGTGCCTCTTGCAGGAGTTTGTTTGAAATGGCCTTATGGTTTTCTTATGAAGTGAGGTGAAAATTGAGGGCTTGGTTAACCGGCTCTCTTGCAGGGCAGCCTGCTGTATGGCGATATCCTCAGGTGACAACACCAATGGTTGGCTTGCCATAACTCCGACCGACTGACTCTGGGTCTGCGCGACCGTTGACCCTACAGATCCTGAACTACCAGCCTGAGAAGTCTGTTTTGCAGAAGTGGCCATGGCTTCCGAAGCTACGGCTTCACTTACGAGCTCCTTGCTAGCCTCTGCTGCTCTAGCTCTCCTCTGCTGTTGCCGCCTCTCCCTAAGTTGGCGGAACAGATATATGTCGCCCTCTGGTCCTAAGGCCAAGTGGGCTATTGGACGTCTAGCAGATCGCAAGATCCGGTCGTCCTCACTAGTGGTGTCCCTATCACTCATATGCTACAGAACTGCACACCTTCTACACTAGGACACGCAATGGATGCCTACCGCAGCACCATGTACAGACCGATATGAATAATCGACAACTATATTAGAGACTAAACGTTCGAGTCCAGCAGGTAAGTTCAGATTCCTACAAATAATACTATTCTACTTTGATTAGCTCGCAAACAGAAAGCATAATGAACAGAATCAGTTCTAAACTATATTGTCTTTCAGATGTCAATGGCGGTACATCTAACTAGTCAAAATAAAAATAGCATCATTTGTTGGGTCTGTTTGTAGCATGGGATCTTACTCAAACTTATCACCTGGAATCTACCCCTTCCGCAATTCCCCTTCATTGTCACTTAACGTCAGCGTCCCTGACCAATCCGGTTTGGCGTGCGTGACTAAAGGTGTGCACACGGCCCACCCCTGTGCCCCGAGTATCTGTTGAGCTGGCCAGCCCTGCACCGTGTTTATCCTCGCGTGCAGCGAGCCTTACACCAATTGGCTGATCCGGAGGCAATTTAACGACCGGCCCCAATTGTCATCAGGAATTATTTTACGTCGCAGCAGGACGACGATCACAGCCAATGGTTTCCCCAGCCGGTGTTTATTTGTAGATGCCCGGTACTCGTCTCTCCCATCGGGTTGGCCTGCCCTTCAGTACCCCTTCTATGAGCACAGCAAGCAAACAAGGACAAAGCAGCAAAGCATGCGTGCTCTACTCCCGGTGGGTTGGCATGGTGACCGTGACCCAGTGCTCCGTCCAGAGCCCTGCAAAAAGCACCGCCCTCTCCTTCCAGATGCTCCACGTGAACAATGCTGACTCTAAAGGATGAGCGCTCACGACACCTCACATGAGAGGACTCTCAAGAAGGAACTCACAACCTCACGGTAAGAAGTGATGAAGAGGGTAGATAAGGTTAAGAGCAACGTACCTCATTATAGCTGCCCCCAACCACAGATATTCTCACCAGATGACCTGATGGCGATTGCAATGACCAGTCACTGCATCGGCACAACCAGCATTATCTTGCCGTTCCACCTCAGCATCAATCAACCACCAGATAGTTCTCATCACACTGCGAACACCCAATATACACACCGTAGCCTTCCAGGCAATTCCCCTCTCCTCCTGGGTCGCCACACCTTGTCTCCGCCCTCCTCACTACACACCACCTACGGCCTCACTCACCAAGCAGACCGCATGTATGTACCGCATAGGCAGAAGACAAGCGCCAGATGAGCGCAACGTACCGCAGCTCCGATACCAAATTGCAAGGAAGATGAGCAATAGCGAACTTCAGCAATCAAACCAGATAGTCGCGACCTCGAACCAACAGCAGAATTGCATCACAAGTTTCACCAAATAAGAGCACACCAAAAGCTCATAATTGACAATGCTGGAATAGTCTCATCATCATCATCAACGAAGAACCAATGTTGATATCCTATCTGGCGCCCGGCGCCCAGACTACAGATGGCAGATCCTATCTAGCCTAGACTACAATGCCGAAGATGACGACAACAGCTCTCCCGAAGTACGAGCAGATGGCAGCCAATGCCGCACGCTTCCAGCACCAGGTATGTCTCTCGCTTCACTCACAACCTCGTTCCCCAACACACAGATGCCACATGCACCCAAGGACCACCCTGCGCCTCACCCAGCTCACAGCAGCGCAGCTCGGCTATGGCTGCCTGCTCCTTCCAGCTCGCCTGTGAGCGCGTGAGCGCTGGCCAGCTTCAGCGCAGCAGCGCTTGCGCAGCATGCAGCCAGCACCCGAATGTCGAATGTGGAGGCAGGCCCTTTGCTATATGGAAGTGGCCTGCCTGCTGATGCGCTGAGCCTGTCCCAAGAAGCTTCCGGTAGGCCCCGGTAGGCTGAGGCCCAGTTCAAACGAATCAGGCCCAGGGCCTGTGGTGGTTATTTGTGCCCAACTGTCCTGGGCCTGTGTTTGGCCCATATCCCGTATCCAGTCCAGGGCCTGCCTTCCATACATGCAAACAGGCGGCCTGAGCCTGGGTGCTCTTCAACCAACTGGCGCTGCGCAACTGCCTGAATTTTCCACAGTTGCATGGTGACCGAAATAGGGGCCCTCAGGCCCTCGTCGAGCCTGCCTTCACTTAGGGCGGCGGACGTGCTGCATAACAGAGCCAAAAAGGGGCTCATCGGGGCCTTGGCCTCACAAAATAATCATTTTTTTGAAAACAACGGAATCATAGTATGCCAATGTACCATGTGGCTCTTAATACCATGTGTGCTACCTGGCAGCTACCATCTACCACATACTGTGCGCTACCCTTCACTCTCTGTGTCTTGGAAACAATGTGCAGTGAGAGAAACGGGGCACACAGATGGCCAGAGAGGCATGTAGACAGACGCACAAACAGTCATATAAAGAGGAGGAGAGAAAGATGGCAGACGGGTAGAGAAAGGCACGAAGAAAAGCTTCGTCTTTGGCGCCGTGCACGCGTGAGATTCTTTGAGCCTGGCAATAAGAGGAGTGTTGTGAACGTATGCCCTTTCTTTTTGCCGTGGGCGGAGCTGCGACACGCAACACTCGCGTACAATGTGCATCATCCCCTTTTCCCGGTTAGACTCTTCTTCTTCTCACCCTGCCTGACGCTGCTAAGGACGGTAGAGAGAAAACAAGTTTTTATAATCTGAAGGAATCCAGCAAAGATATGCCGAATGCACCAGCCCCACAAGGGCCCTCCAGGCCCAACTTTGGACCAGTTTCAGGCCCTGGGGCGCATGGACTTCGTTTTGGGCGCCCCCCAGGGCTACGGCCACCTTTTCTGGCGTCCGTAAGACCGGGGCAGGTTGGTTCGGGCATGGGAATTCTTTTGGTTTGTTTCATTCGTGTTTTTGTCTGTTCCAGGTTTTGTCAGGTCTGGACGTCCCGTTTGGACCTCCACCCAGATTTTGTCCAGTCGTTTGGACCAGGACTGGGGTGTTTTTCACACCCAGCGACCGTTTCTTAGGCCTTCGGCATTTTGTTTTGGGCTGAACCGTTTTCTCAGGTTCAGCCCTGTTTGTCCTTTTGCAGCCCTGGGTGCAGGAAACGTTTTATGCCCAGTTGCTAGGCCAGTTTCATGGCCTGCATCCAGGACCGTCAATTGCTTCATACATTGGCAAGCCCTGGATCCAAGCCGCCTCCAGATCGAGTAGGCCCAGCGCTATATATAGCTGGGCCCAGTCTAGTGAGTGAGACGTGAGTGTTTGGAGGTCGTCACACTTCAGCATGAGGACTAGCAACAGGATTTGCGGTAGAGGTTAAGTGGTTCAGCAGAGGAGGAGATCAGCAGAGGCTGGGTTGGAGAGGACTCACCTGGGGCACTATCACTGCTTCATCGCTTGGCACAGGCAACTCATCTGGTAACGAGAGAGAGAGAGAGGAGTCCTTTCCACCTCATCATATGGAGTAGCGTTCACTTCTTCTTCTTCCCACTTTTGTCTCATCCCCCACTCAGTCCTTCGGATTATCTCGCTATGAGTGTAGGGCAAGGCAGCCCCTATCTTTTGTGTATGGACCCGCATTGGACATTTCCCTGCGTGATGATATATATGTCATCCTGAGCAGGAGAATCAGATCTATGCATTTTCAGTTCTTTTCTTTTCTTTTTTCCTTTTTTTAAGAAAACAAGACAGCCTCAAGAGATCAGCATCCAACTGACCTACCCCATGTAAGTTCCATCTGGATTCGGACTCAGGTTTGCAATGCACCGGTTCATGTGTGTACCAAATGAACTAGGCCCATTGCTTGTCCGTCATTCCACTGTTTTACATCACTGTTTTCTCACATTTGGGGGATTCCCTGGTTCTGCAGCATACCAATCCAAACATAGGCATGTAGCCGACGTCAAATAGTGCAGACTCTGAGCCACTGCTATCCTTGGTCATGATGACTTCCTGCCTAACTGGAGAAGATGAGCAAGTTCAGTAGCCAAATGTGAAACACCCAGTTCAAGACATTCGTTATCTTCTAAATTCCAAAATGCACTGGTAATAAATACACCACGGAGGCTGCACCTCATTTTCATCAACATTCCTCTGTCGTTTGGAAAACTGGATATAAATTGAACAAACTAAGTTGTTTCTGCACGCAGTCAAGCAGTCACAGAACAGTCGCTGTGCACAATGTCCCTTTCGTTTTGAAAACTGGATATAAATTGAACAAACTACGTTGTTACTGTTTCCTGCAAGCAGTCAAGCAGTCACAGAACAGTCGCTGTGCACAAAGTCCCTTTCCACCAAAGGTGCTGGCAGTGATAGAGACGAGGGAGGGGAAGCAATCTCACCTTGTCAGAAACAGGTTTAAACAATGTGAGTGGCCTTGGATGCACAGCACCCATCATCGCCTCTTCCATTACTTGAGGAGCTACGAGAGTCTTGATAGGGACGCCAAGCTTACTAAATGCATCAACCAACAAAAATGGAAGGCAAGTTACTTCACCACTTCCTGGCTCCATACTATCTTGATTGATTATTCACAGAAGTCTAGTGTGATGAACCCAAGAAGTTTCCAGCAATCAGAATGGCAGACAAGATCACAAAGGTTCAAAAACATCCGTGATCCAAGAGGCGAGTACAAATGAAAACAAATACTTCAAAGGTCATATATGATCGCTGTGCAAGGAATATGAGCAAGCGCGATATACAGAAAACCAAGTTGCGAAATCACACAGATGCCCAGCCCAAGTAGTCATGTACAAGCAGAGAGTGCAAATGCACCGAGATTCCATCCAGATAAAAGCAATACAATGGACTCACGAGCCAATGTCCAAGCCCTCAGGCCACACCAACACCGTATCCAATGTCGCTCCTACTCTGTCCCAGGCGCCCAGTGCCCAGCCTACACTAATCGCCATACTTGCGGCGCATCGCAATGCGCTGTACTGCGCATGTGCGCCGCACTGCGCTTCCCGCACGACGCGCGCGCACTGCATGCGGCGCACCTCCAAAAATGGGGGTCAAAGTGAGGGCCAGTAGTAGACCTGGCCCCCTGCTCGCGTAAAATATGAAACGGGCAGCCAAATTTTTTTTGAAGGCCGCGCGTTGGCCTGAAAGCTTTTAGTAACCTGTAGTCGGGGTAACACTGTGTGTATTGCAGTCTGTATGGTAGGGTTCTTGCAGGCCAGATTCAGTCATGATGAGGGTCGCGATCTCTCAAAACGTTCTCTTGTTTATTACTTCTGAAGTAGAAAACGACGGAACTGACAACCGTTTTTCCTGGAATTTTTTTTTTTAATAAAAAGAAAAAAATGTAAGGGAAGAAAAT